AATATGTTAGAAACAATCTTTCTCTGAATTCAGCACATCTACGAACCTCCAACGAAGTTGGCCCTGCGAACAGGAGAGTTCACGATTGGTTTTCAAGGCATTCCGTTACGGGGTTCTGTCAGTAACTGATATTTTCTGTTTTCTTTTTTTTTCATAGTAGTTTTAAAGTGGCAAGATGTGAATGAGTATAGCGCACACCTTAAGAACGAAAAGCTTAATCCGTCATTCTTTACTTAAGTACCGGGTATAGCTTGATTACGTTGAGCTGGGGTCATACTGATTATACATCATACAAAAGACAGTCTGCATACAGATTTGAGGGCAAGTCACCGTGAGATCCATGCTTCGAATGCAGCCTGGCAATGGGTTCAAGGAGAAACTTAGCATGCAACATTCGAACCACACATATTGCGGTGACTTGCATGTGCAGACTGTCTTTTGTATGATGTATGAGCAGTGTGACCCCGGCCAGCTGTCTTCTGGGTAAAAGCAGAATGTCCCGCTATCACATTGAGGACCCGGCCAGCTGACACGGGGGATTCGCGTCATAGGCTTCTGAAACACGAGCTCTTGAAAGCAGGGCAAAAGGGGCAGGGTGCTTCACATTGGGTGCTTTCGTGCACCACCCGCAAAAGGCTACTGAAACCTTATAAAAATTTTCATTTGAACCATTTTTGCTGCTATTTGCACAACCTACAGCTGCACAGTGATGAGGCATAACAATTATGAAGCCAAGCCATGAGAATAACGGAGGTAGTCAAGCCAAACCAATCCTGTCTGAGGGACTGAGTGGACGAGAGAGCCCCCAAAAATGGTGCCTTTCCCTTTCCTCCTCTCTCTGAGTTCACACATGCGCCCAGGTATACATGGCTTGCATTGACCTCACATCAGCTGCCATTGCTCCATACCATGCGCCTGTTTCTGTACCTTCTGCAGCATACATTTGACACCATCAAATTTGTCTTCTGGGCAAGGCTTGCCGAAAGAAACAAATTGAATGGTGCGAAATCTATGCTGCACAAGGTACGGTGCAGCAATGGCAGCTGGTATGGTGCCATATGACGCCCCGTGCAAGGCATGGTTCCCGGACATTTCATCGAACACTGTTTCATCGAACGCCGTTTCGTCAAACGCTGTTTCATCGAAAAAATGGACGTTTCATTGAATCGCTGATGGGAGTTTCATTGAATGTCTTTTAAATAAAAAGTGTGAAAGATGTTCTTTTATGCACGGATCGAGTGCATTTTCGTCTCATTCACCCATTTCATCGTCAGGGTTTTTAATGTCCAAACTTGTAGCTGTTACAATTTATTTTATGGCAAGTAACCCATGAGGATATTTGTACCGATCTTTATGTTTGTTTTGAAGATTGTGCTTATCTGTTCACCCTTTCTGTATTACCCGATGGCCCTTGAGGGTATTGTAACAAATAAATAAAAAGTCGCACTCCCGGTAAGAGCGCACTCCAACTCATGGAGGCCAGAAGGCGACTTAGGTTTTCCAGAGGCGCAACAACTTTAGCCATGTAAGCCTCCTAGCCTCTCATGTCTTTGTATTGATGCTTTTTTACTGCCCGAAGCTTGCAGTTGCTAAAGCTGAGGTGCTATGTTTATGAAACTACAATGAAACATTGTTTTCTTTTTTTAGTTTTAAGACTCAGTCGAGTCAAAAGTAAGTATGTCACATCAAATTTTATTTGAAAACTTTCGGGGGTTCATGTGTTCGTGCGACAGCCATTCACCGTTTCAAATGATGAGCGATTGCTCTCTAAAAGTTCCCCACAGCCATGGTCCGTCAGTTCTCATAAAAAAGGCGGACCTTCTCATCCCTTGCCGCTATGGCCATCTTCTGGCGAGGAGGCTTTTGGGAACTCAGCATCGCCTCCAGCTTGTCTACCGTCAGTTGATGTTCTGTGGCGATGCAAGTCAAAAACTTCCAGAACCTGAAATGGGCACCTCCGACCAGCTTCAGGAAGCGAGACCGCCACCATGGCGTTGGATAAGACGGCGTTCGATAAAACGGCGGTCGATGAAACGGCTTCGATGAAACGCCGTTCAATGAAACGGCTTCGATGAAACGGCGTTCGACAAAACGGAGTTCAATGAAATGTCCAGTCCCAGCAAGGCATGTATACAAAGTCTGCAGACACAGATACGAGACCTGCAAACGTGGGTTAGGCACTGATAACAAAACTGACACCTGGATAAGCATGTTTTCAAGTAATTTGGTCTGAGATACTAGTGTCATCGTACATGCCACCTGATTAATTATGTGTATTCTTCTATCCTGGAAAATTTAATATGATCCATGTACTGGCTCGAGCGTACACGGTGGCCGGCTAGCAGTCACACATGCGTAAGGGTTGCAACCTTTCTGCCTAGCCTTGCGCGTTGTCGTGTACGCACCAATCTCTTGTGCAAAGAAATTAGAATTAAAATGTGTCACTGCCTCGAAATCTGCCTTCAGCAACATGAAATCAAACGGGGCTATACCGATCTCTTTCTGCCCGTTAGAAACTCCGCAACAAATTCTGAAGTTTAATCATATTAAGGCTGGCAGCCTGCTATTTGGGTATTTGTTTTTGATCGGCATGCGAAATGCGCACCACGATTGTTTCTGTACTCATTATATGGCTAAAATCAGACTTGATGCTCGGGTGTTGATGTCGCTGGCTGTAATAAGGCGGAGCCTCCTGAGGGGGCGGTTCACCGAATGATACTTTAGCGAATAGTTGGGCGCCGCGAAGCGGCGTTCACGTGTGGGCCAATACACATACACATGTGGGTTCATATTTTTTGTAATGAGCCACCTCAGACTGTCGCCGCGAAGCGGCGTAAAGCGCAGCGCGGCGGGTGGGTTAACGCGCGCCCCCGTTATTGCCCCGGAGGCTCCGCCTTATTACAGGCCAGCGACATCAATACGGTAATACCTATGCTCGTACCCAAAGGTTACATAAAAATGTTTCACATATATCGGAGCATAGCGTCACTTAATAAGCAATAGGAGCAGACTTGCCAAGGGACGCAGTCCGCAGGCGACGTAGGTTCACGTAGCCCTCCTTGGTGTAGCCCACGGTGGAAGAAACGAAATGCTTCTTCCGTCGTGGTGTAGCCAGACAGACGATGGGCGCAGCCATGACAGTTATTCTCACTGATCTCTATGACAATTGTCATTGAGATCAGTGGTTATTCCACTGATCTCAATGACAATTGCTGGATCGCGCTTGCCGCTCCCGCAAGTGAAGCCACCGGGCGTCACTCGCTTGGGATACGATTTGCCGTTTTTGCTAGCCTTTGCTGCGGTTTTCCAGCGTGCTGACGACACGTTTTCTACTCGTTCGTCGTCATTCGCCGAAGAAGTTTTTTGAAGACTCTGTGTATTGTTGAGACTTTCCGTTGTGAACACGTGGAAAATTTTACGAAAGTGCAGTGTCGCAGGAAAAAGGCACAACGCGTCGAAAGGAAGGGCTGGCGGCGTGTTCAAAGCATCCTTGGCACGCCGAAGTGCCGTGTCTCTGTGCCTTCGCGCGCTTGGATACCGGCCAAGAACCGACGCCGTGTGAATGTGTTTAGCGAGTGCAATGTGCGTGAAGCCGTATCAAAAGGTACAACTCGTCGAAAACGTGTCGCCGGTGTCGCGGCGTGATCAAGGCTTCCTTGGCACGCTGAGTGATGCATCTTTGTGCCTTCGCACGCTTGGATACCGGTCAAGAATTGACGCCGCGCCAAAGTTCTGAACGTGTGTCGCGCGTAGATGCCTTTAGATCATTTATATATATCGGCCACGGAGTTCTGGATCGTCCAGCTGTTCCGGTGAGTTGCTATCAATAAAAGAGGGAGATCTGTACGTATTCTTATGTTCTATATTAACCATGGCTATGTCCCAAATCTACTCTAATAGATTCCGTGGGAGCACGAATAGGGCAACGTTGTACGTGGAGCCAGGGGGGTTTTCGAAAGCAAAAGTACAAGACGGCGAGAATGAAAATCTTTGAAGCGCGGCCGATATGGTCGTGTGCAATCTGTTGACCAATTACAATTAGGCGAGTCGCGTAGGTTGATAATAAGCCAGCACTGATCAGTGATGAGGAGCTGTTGTGCACGGTATTGTGTAAATCGTCTAAGGACGAAAAAAAGACGTACCTTCTCCCCATCCTCCGTCGCTAGTGGACGCTGGATTAAGCTCGTTCCTAAACCGCGAGGGGAAAAGACGCTGATCCAGAGGCACGAACAGCTTCACGCACATTGCACTCGCTGAACACATACACACGGCGTCGGTTCTTGGTCGGTATCCAAGCGTGCGAAGGCACAGAGACACGGCACTTCGGCGTGCCAAGGATGCTTTGAACACGCCGCCAGCCCTTCCTTTCGACGCGTTGTGCCTTTTTCCTGCGACACTGCACTTTCGTAAAATTTTCCACGTGTTCACAACGGAAAGTCTCAACAATACACAGAGTCTTCAAAAAACTTCTTCGGCGAATGACGACAAACGAGTAGAAAACGTGTCGTCAGCACGCTGGAAAACCGCAGCAAAGGCTAGCAAAAACGGCAAATCGTATCCCAAGCGAGTGAAGCCCGGTGGCTTCACTTGCGCTGCAGCGAACAAGCGGGGAAGCGCGATCCAGCAATTGTCATAGAGATCAGTGGGTTATTCTATTGTTTGAATTTTATGATGCAGAAAGTTTCGCACATCAACTTTGGTTGTTTATTATGTTCGTTATAAGTAAACCAAAACAAAACATTTAACTAAAATTGTTATTTATCATTTATCGTAATATATTTAATGCTTTAATACGTTAACGTAATGTTAACGAACCTAACGACTACGAACGAACAGAAACGAAATCGACAACAAGCAAAATGCCTGCGACCAGTTGAGGCTGCTGAAGCTGCAGTGGTCAAGTTAACGGCATTCTACGTTACTGTATTTAGTTGTAAGCTCGTACACCACTATAATTCGACACGAGATTTCTGAAAAGTCGACATGCTATAAATAAAACGGTAGCGTGCCCTTCTATTTAATTAGAGCTGAAAATACATTTGGGAGTGAAGTGATTTGAATCTGAGCAGTCGCCCGCTGCAACACAACGGTATGTATTCACGATTCATGAAGATTTCTTGTGCATGTATCAGAAGATATTCCTTAAAGCATGGATCACAGGGCGTTTTCATCATCTTAAGCGGCCTTAAAAAAAGGAAATAATGGAAGCTACACAGGGGAATGAAACGTTCGGATCGAATAGAATTGTTCGACGGTGCCGAAAGACAAAATTGAACGAGTTGTAATATGCGGAGTGTAGAAGCTTAGCACACGAACGACGTTGTATTTATCAACTCTACTAAAGACTTGTGTTGGTATGGAGACCTTTTGCGCGATGTAACGTTGCAAGCACGGTTGTGCTTCTTATTTTCTTACATTTGGCACCTAATTCCCTGAAATTAGTACACCTGACGGGCCAGTGACAAAGAGTTTATATTCTACAATTCAAAAGACGATAACATTGAAGATGACATAAATATTGTTTCTTTTAAGCCATTGATTATGTTATCGTATTTCGAATCGTAAAGCACCAGGGTGTTTACGTTTTTCCGGAGTTCACAGAAACACTACAAAGAAGGTCCCAACATTAAAAAGAATATTTGTGACTCGTAATCTCGAGACTGTCGCTCAGGGCTTCCCTCACTCTGTTTTCTGCAGTCACATGGAATGATAACACAACTCTTCATAAAGGAAAAAAAAAGGGGGGGATTAAGGTTTTGAGGAGTAATGAGCTGTTGGGCACCAGGGCATTGAATGGAAAAGAAAACCAAACATCAGAAAAAAACTTATTCGTGTGCAAACCGGAATCACACCGAAACATGATAATTTTCTTCATATTGGAATGAAACCGAAAAATAATCTTTGAGGTTTCCACTTCAAGGGGAAAAATTGTTCAAAGTGAAACATACAGAATTTTGACGAATTTCGAACTTTTGAACAGAAATTTGACAAAGTGTGAAGAAAGTTTAATCGTATAAGGTCTTAAATATTATTAATACAAAGATGTGGTGGTGCTACCAACGACTCGCTTGTAGTGGCGGCTGGTCTCGTACCTGAAAGTCGTACCGTGTAAAACTGCGTAGGTTGCCCCAAAGTAAACTTTAGGTCCCTTGTCTGCAGGTTTGAAATCCGATGAAGGCACATTACTGGTGCGTTGTTCATAAGCTTGCTTAGGAGAAGAGCGTGTTGGTTCATGTCATGGATGAAGAACAAATAAAACAATTAAAACAGGGACAACACAACCACATCTTTCAACAAGCAACAGACGAGTAAACTTTCCACAGCGAGCAGCCGACTATACCCAGGAGGGGAAGTGGGGAGAAGGGGAGATAAAAAACGCAAAGTGAAAATCAGAGAGGTGGGTTTATCTCGGATTTTAGAAATTCAACCTCAGTTTTTGTCGGCAGGAGGGAAGGGTTTGACACATTGTTTTTTGCTGTGTTCATGGCGAATGACTCTATGATCTCCCTGCTGCTGTAAAAACGTGTCAAACCCTTCCTTCCTGCTGATGAAAACTGAGGTTGAATTTCTAAAATTCGAGATAAACCCACCTCTCTGATTTGCACTTTGCGTTTTTTATCTCCCCTTCTCCCCCCTTTCCCTCCTGGGTATAGTTGGCTGCTCGCTGTGGAGAGTTTACTCGTCTGTTGCTAGTTGAAAGATGTGGCTGTGTTGTCCCTGTTTTAATTGTTTTATTCTTTCTTCATTCATGGTTGTTCATAACCCTGGCTGTGTTTGAATGCAAGTTGCCCAATCTCCTCGTGTTGTGGCTGGTTGGGGAAAGGCGTGCACTGAAAGTGACACCGATTCGTGAGAGGCAACACTGGATAGGCACTTGATCCATTATCGTCATTATCCAGTTGTATTTTAAAAGCGACTAATATCTCCACTTGTTTTCTTATTTTTCTAAGAAGGAAAGCACGAAGAACCAGCTATGCAAAATCAAATCTGAGGGTTTTACAAGCCAAGCAGACGACGGGCATTCAGAACACCTCAGCATACGACTGAGGATTAATTTGGAACACCTGGGGATCATTTGACGTGCAACAGAAAGCTTGATTGCATGACCTTCTCGGCAATAAGCCTTTGTCAAATTGCGGGCACCTGGGCCGGGATTAAAACCTGCCACCTGGGGTTTGTAGGCCGGTGCCTTGCCTTGGAGCCACTGAAATGCCAAAGAAACCGGTAGTGTAGTGAGCCTGATGCATGACCGGTCATTACCTGATCAGGTGTATCTTGGGGGGCCGGGGGACCTATGAGCTTGTCTGGTTGCATGCTTCTTGACCTTGAGCTCTGTCGGGTGCTGTACCTGCGTGCAGTGTTTTCTCTGCCCCACGGGCCATTCCACTGGAAATAAACGCCCAGAGCAACTACAAACTTTCGTAAAGCAAGATGTCTTGCCTTGGCGACTTTGTCTGCACGCATCAACTTGTATATTTCATTGTCTCATGCCAGCATCTCATTTAGGGGTATTCAATCGCATTGCTTCCAGTTTGCAAAGAGGTAGCCATTCCTGATGCATACCAGACCGCCTCAAGTCTTGTCGCTGAACCGTCCAACCAACTCAAGGCTTGTTTCATTAATCATAGTAAATAACGAGAAGTATCCTAAGAACCCGGTACCGAGAAGAAAGTAGTGTTTATGGCACAAAATAAAATGTGCAGCGTTTTTAGTCAACTTTGTAGCACTTTCAAGTTTTTTCTAGATGAGCCCTTATAAACTTTATTTTAAATTGTGGTATTTGATCTTGTACCTTGAGATTCAAAAACATAAATTTGAATTCTTCAAACATGTATAGCGAAGAAATTCGAAATTTTCAAACTTTTCATATTCAATCTGTAAAGAGAGTTGAAATCTTCAAACTTGAACTTTCAGAAACTTTACATTATCAAACTTTTCAAATTCGAAACACAGCAGGGTTTGAAATTCGCAACCTTTTCAAATTCAAACCTTAACTCCTGCAATCTCGGCAGGTTTGCGACATCCCTAGTTATGATTTTATCTAGTCAGGTAGTTGGGCTAAATGGATGTAGAAGTTGCGACAGTAGTTTTTCCGTCTGCTGCTAAGTATCCAACGTCTGAAAATAGCTAATGACACAGCACCGTCTGAAACCACCACGCTGCAGTGACGTTATTGAGTAGCAATCGTCGCTCAGAATAAAGCAGTGGGGAACACGTTTGCCTGGACAGCAAATTCGCATGTCTAGACATTGTACAGTCAGCACAGAATGAAACCATCGTCACAGGCTGCTCCACTGGAGGGCCCCTGAGAACTAATGAAAATGTGCTTTGGAGCGAAAGTGCAGGTCCTACTAAGGTGTGCTCGACTCTCGCGCGACATATCTGGGACTTCCGCGTTTCGCCGGTGGTCGAGGGTCGAGCACAGCTTAGTAGGACACGCACCCTGGCACCTCGGTGCATTTTCATTAGTTCTCAGGAGCCCTCCAGGTGGAGCAGCCTGTGACGATGGCCACGCGCTGCGGCGTTCGGGTTTCATTCCGTGCTGACTGTACATACGTTCAATGGCGCCATAAATTATACATCTGTCGTATTACCTACATCCGGCCCGCACTCATTGTTATACATTTCTAAATAGTGTTTTTCGTGCACATTCACCCCTGCGAGAGGTTCATTCTCCGGTCTTAGACAACTGAAGGAAGTTCTGTCCCTTACTTGCTTTGTGCTGCTGGGTAGCCTCTGAAAAAGAAATGCTCTAGCACAGCTAGGTGTATAGTGCTTTATTATAGATATTCAGGAGAGCAACCAGAATTTAAGTCACCTCACTTAGACATGGTACAGGCTGTAACGTGGGTTTGCTTTACAGAATTGTTATTTTCTAAAAAAAGATAAAGAAAATCAGATTATGGTTGTAATGCGTGTGTTATACCTTGTCACTGCCGACATAAAAAAACATGGTTTGCTTTTGCAATGCAAACTATAGAGATCGACGCAGGTAGATTGTCCCATTTTGTCTGAACTTGCAACTATGCACACATAACGTCTTGGTCAACGCAGGGCTAGGGAAGAGAGTTGAGATGCAAAGCCCTGTAAAGACAATGTCGCATTGCTTTCTTTTTTTTTTAGTCTCCATGTGTAGAATTGTGTGGCATGTAGACTAGCTTGTCTGACTGTTCAATTTTTCGACTAATGTATTTATACTCTTGTCAATACCAGCTGCCATGGCGATGGGCTACTCTTCGACGGGAACATGCACATCTGAAAGAGACCTGGCCCGATGAGCATCACAGCTACAACATTGCTGCCACAGTACCTCTAGATACAATAGTTATTGGCTTATTCAAGTGACCAAGTGGTGACAAGGGAATCTCGTGGCCACCTTCAGCAGGTAGGTTTGTCAACAAGGTGGCAGGTTTCACTCTTTGTTCAATTCCTATGGTGCTGTCACTGCCATTCAATGAAATGGAATGAGGATAGAGGTACTGTAAAAGCCTTGAATTAATGTTTTTTCAGCACTCAATTTTGATGAACCTAAATACTGGGGACATGAAGCGTCACACAAAAATTCCAAACAATATTTGATTTCTACAAAACCATGTTGCTAGTTGCGAATTAGTTTTCTCAATTTAATGTGCGGGTTATTGCAGAACCGCCACGCGCTTTAACAGATATTAAACACAAGCATGATGTTGTACTGCTTTGTCATTTCATGGTATCACCTATCGCCATCCCACACCTTCGTTTCGGGTGCTACGTATGTGTCGTCTTGGATAAAGGTTTTATGGCTATTTAGTTCCGTTGTTTGTAGCTCATGAGAGAATTAAATGTATCTCATTTCCTGACCTGGCCTATGTACCGTCGCACAACTGGTATACTCCGCTCACCCCTAAGCTGATGGTGCATTGGAAGCTACGTGCTTGCTGGACCAGTTGTACGCCCATCATTTGCCATCTGATCAGACATCCCCGCCTACATCCATGCGCCAGGAGCAGGGTCCGGTGACGAGAGGAAGGCGGTCGATAGGTCCAGTGAATGTGTTGCTCCCATCGCACTGTCAACTTGGTGGTGAACAGAGCATAGGAAACAGCTCATTGCATTAGCACTAAATGACACAGAGCAGGTTTATATGATATGTAGGCTCATATCTGGCCTCTTATTGAGTGCCACATTGGAGACCTGTGGCCAGAATCAAAACATTTAAGATGGAACCAGCAGAAACTAACTGGATTGATTCCCACCTAACAAATTCAAGCCAAAGTGTGGAAAGCAGCGGTAATGTTGCAAACCCTCTGCCAGCATATTCAGCTGTAGCTCACAGTTCTGCTTTAGGGTCAGTCTTGACATATATAAATGACGTACTACACAGCATGCCCCCAGAAATACAGGTCGGACTCTGGGGACGATTGTATTATTTACTCACTGATGAGCACCTTGGATAAGCAAGCATCATTAAATAAGTATGCTAACCACATAAAGGAATTGTGTGTAATATTTTCAAGGTGTCAAAGTCTATCATATAGACTAACCAGATTTTTATTTAGCAAAGTTTACTGCAAGGTAAATATCACATCAGCATTCACCAAGTTTCCTTTTCTTTCACATATATATATATTTTTCTAATTCATGCTTTGTTGTCCACCTTTCACCCTGGAATAGTGCTTTTACCCTTAAAGGGATAGTGAACAGAAATTTCGAGCTCACAAAACAAGGGTAAACGGATAGGCGGGACGCTGCAAAACCCCAAAACAACACTCATACAGCGATATCTCTAACGGATCTCTGTATTTTTGGAAAAGAAGTGTGCGAGTGAACACGGCCGACGAGACAAGTCACGTCACGATTCCCGTTCCCTCTCCTTCTCGCTACGTCCCTTCAAGCTAGTGAACTGAAGCGAGAAGGAGAGAAGCGAGGCTGCTTCCCCTCATTCTGCAATTCTGCCGGAGGACAACAACGTCAAAGACCGTCACAGATGGCCGCACTTTTTTTTCAAAAGAGCGGCCATCTGTTTGAGATACTAATGTACAAGTCATGTCTTGGAGTTCCTAGCGTTTTGTTCAACGCTCATGCATCCTTATTTTGCGTAATCCGAATTTCGGTTCGGTATCCCTTTAATGGGGCACTAAAGTGTATTTTGAAAGTCTCGTTCTATGGTCATACCTCAATCTGCGAGCACTAATCATCCTAAAAAACCAGAAATTACATTCATTTGCTGCAAATTCGTATCTTAAAAAAGTGATCGAAGTTCCAGACACTTACCATCGTCAGAGAATAACAGATGGCGCTACCAAACCTTGCTGAATATGGTCGAACGACGGACGGTGCGTGTCAGCCACTCGCGAGCGATGGGTTCCTGCGTGGACGAGCACGACTGGTCGGCAGCTTGTCCACGGTGGACTCCATCGCTCGCGAGTAGCCGACACGTGCCGTCCGTTGTTTGACCATATTCACGAAGGTTCGGTAGCGCCATCTGCCATTCTGCGCTGACGCGAAGTGTCGAGAATTTTGATTGATTTTTTTAGTATGGAAATCGGCCGCAGATGAATGTAATTTTTGCTTTTTAAGGATGGTTAGTGCTCGTAGATTGAGTTATAACAATAAAACGAGGCTCTCAAAAAGCACTTTAGTGCCCCTTTAAGACATGGCTGCCCTGTGGCAAAGCGACATAAGCAGAATTGCAATGCCTACTCCACGGGTGTAGCTTCTCGGCAGTGCACCAGTGTGTGGTGTGAGAAGCGCACTCAACGGAGATAATTAGACTGCCCGAACATACCACGTACAATGAGAGATATCACGAAACATCCGAGAACTGAGTCATGTTCGGTGTGTAAATCAAATCAAATCACACATTATTCTAAGCAATAACCGGAAGTTCTAAGCGATTCACACAATGTTGCAGGAACAATCTGGCAGTACTGCGACGCCTGAACTATTAGTTTCGGTAGATACAAACGAAAACTCCCTTATGGTGTAGTGTAGGCATAAATTCATTACATTTTGGTGAAATGTAGCTTTGGCGGAGCATGCACGTCAATGCTTTTCCCCTTGGAAGGCATTCTTGCACATTCCGATCCAAATTTCCCATCTTAAACTTTGTTCCTTAGGTAGCATGCAGCAGGACTTTAAGGGATAACTTGCTGGTTGGGAAGTAACTTTGTGGCTAACTTAAAAGACCCCTGAAAAGAAAAAGAAAATGTTTTTTTTAAGCAGTCTGGTTGGGACACATGTGTTAAAAAAGAAATTTTACCGAGCAATATTGATTGGGAGAGATTTAATTGAAATTGTTTGCGAAGTCCGTGACGTCACGGGTCATTCCAAGATGACCATCTCGATCGTAAAGGCGAAGGCGATCGACCTCCCCTCCACGCTCCTGAAATGCCAAGAGAGAAAACAAGTGGTAAGGATGCGACTGCCGACTAAATCGGACGTGACTGCCGACTAAATTGCGTCTCGCGCCGTCAATATTGCTCTAAAAAATATTTTTTTCACATAAATTTTTTTTTTTTTTTGACATGTGTGTTTCAACTAGATTGTTAAACTAGATTGTCTTCTCAGGGGCCCTTTAATAAGGCGAGTGCCCCACTCCCATTCAATGGATTGATTGGGACGCTCCCAGAACAAGCATAGCGACCTACAATCTGTCGTGCATACAGCATGTTTCATATCTCCACGTTTGAATTTTTCCTTTTCTGCACATTGGTTCAAGAGTGGCTTGGATTGAGTGCTTGGTCTTCCTTTCCCCATCAGGCAGGCAGTCTACAGTCTACTTCAAGCATCTGCAATGCTACACAGAGGGAACGTGCCAAAGGCCTGGTTGATGGGCAGGATCGGGCTGCTCCATAGAGTTCTATGCAATCGACCTCTGGGAAGCAAGCGTCTGCATGATCAAGTGTGGCTTCTTGGCAGATGATTGCCTGCAACACTGGTGTTCATCAACATATGTGGTGACTGTCGAGAAATATTTCTCGGATGCAAGACCCCGAACTGCACCTGGAACTCTGATGTAGCTTGTGCACGCTCATTTGATTACCTTCTGAAGACTGTGCCTAAAAGAACTGCTGCAGAATGGCGATTGAGATGAAGGCGTTACAAGATGCGTCATAGGAGCCACCATGTACTTGTGCTGATTGTCTCGATCCCGGTGTGGCTCGCTCTAGAAGTTCAAGCAGAGGGGGAAAATGTTGCTTTTGTGCTAACGTCCCAACTTGGAGTTCTTTGAGTCTCCCTCGACTGACATGCTAGTGAGCCGCAGCAGAACAGGCATCTGCGGTGCCCGCGTTCCTCTGCTGTAACACTGCCAGGATTGAGGCCAGGGGTTCATCCATGATTGTCTATCTGGGAAGGTGTTGCTAATTCTGGGAAAGGCCTCGCGAGGGATGTATAGCATAGATTTGTGTACTTTGAGTAGAAAATTCTTATAGCGTTGTCCCACTAGATCGACAAACGCCGATTTTCGTCCGGCGACAGCACGAAGTTTTGTGTCGCTGATGCTGTTCCACTGCAACGACCAACATCTGCTACAAGCGCCGACAAACCATCAACGACGGACGAGTTGTTGTCTGTTGTTCAACTTGAAGCGCAGCAAGCAGTCCCACCGAGGAACATCTCTCGGAGACAAACTTAATTTTCTTACCCACTTCTGCCTTCTGTTGCTGTCTTCCCCACCCTCCCATTCCTGCCGTGACTCAGTCCTTGGCGGCCACTGATCGTTCCTGCTCCCGCAGTTTCGATTCCTGGATTGCTCGTAGTGGTCGCGGGCACGGCTTGCTTGCTAGATGTCGTGTTGCAAAAGGGAATTTGCTGTGGCTGGTTTTGCTCGCGAAAACCTGGTGCGCGAGTTGGTGCTTCAAGATGCCGAAGTCTACACCCCTGCATCAGGATGGATACACCCATGTGCGAGGACTGACCAAAGTAAGACCGCTCACCACGAAGTAGGACACGACGTTCCATCAGTTCTGCGGCAAGCCATTCCGGCAAAACGAGAGACTTGTCATCCGTTCTGTGATTGTCCCTAATAAAACTACCCCCGTATTGTCCCTCATAAAACGCCTTCCCTTGGAGGCGTTTTATGGGGGAACAATGAAATTCCCGTGAAATTCCGTGGCGCGCACCTGGAATGCTTCGAACGACCCAAAAAAAGGAACGATTCAGGAATTCTAGTTCGGAAAAAGTTGGGTGTCGATTGTCACGACTGTTTTCGGAAAGTCGCCAACGGCAAATGAAGGCAAGCGGAAGCTTTAAAGGGATACTTCAACGAAATTTGAAATATTTCCGTCGTGTTCAAAAATAGGTTGAATATGATCCACAATATCCGTAAATGACAATCACACGTTTGTATTTTGAGCCTGGTGGCTGTATTTTTCGTTATAAACGGCCCACTCTGGCAAGCGCTCGGAGAAGGCCCAGCGGAGACCATGTGACATCCAACGCAATCGTGACGTAGGTCGTCTCAAGACGAGCAAAGCTACGGCGAGGCTGCCGTCGAGATGATGGCCTAGTTGTTCCAGCTTGTTCCAGCCACCGAAGCGGCTGCTTTTGTACAAATTTTGAGTGACAGGTTAATCTTCTATAATCTTGTAGGGGGACAATAGCGACTTCTGTGACACACAAAAGGCATTCTCGGGAAGAGGGGAGTTCCCCCTGCCCCTCTTCTCGTCGTGGCCGGAGGCGAGACAACCTCCGCCACTAGCTGCCAAGGTTGCTAGACGGGCATTACAAGCGAGGCGTTAGCGACATCCACCAGGTGCTCTTTGCTAATCGTTTAATTCGTCTTAAAATTCCTTTTCATGACTTTTTTAACACGATATTGGTATGTTCGATTTGGCGGTGCTTTTTTGAACACATATAGACCAAAAAATGAGCGCGGAAATTTCGTAGTAGTATCCCTTTAAACAAGGAATAAAGTCATCGTCTCCACTTTCACTGTGTTTGTCGGCGCATTTGACGCCCAAAAAGCAAAACAAGAAAACCGCGTCGCCATACTCTGTTTGTCTATTTTGAAGTGCTGTTGACAACTCTAGTCCCACTAGGAAAGAAGTTTCCTTGTCCCCGTGTTCTGCTCCGTGTCTGCCAGGTGGGACAGAGGACTCCGACAAAGAGGCTGTTTGTCAGTGTTGTATATCGCTCATTGTCGTCTGTTGCTGTCGTTTGTCGCTCTAGTGGGACGCGGCTATTAGGGACTCGGCCTGGGGCATGTTAGGGGTGTGTGCGTATAAGTCGCTGGTCGTAAGAACCAGCAGCATTGCATTCGTTGTGCTCAGTGTCCTGGATTGTCTGGATCTGCCTGTAATTTATGGGACCTTTAGAACTTCAGCATTACACAGTGATGACATCAGCAGCTGGAAATTGATGGGACCGAAATAAAGATGACAAAACTAGATTGTAGCTGGAGTCTATCACTACCATAGAGAAGCTCTCAATAGCATGGACTTTGGATTCACACAAGAATGTCCCGTGGGTAACAGGATTTAATGCACAAGTAATTCTGAAGATGGCTTTAATGCTTCCGTTCTAATTCCCATGGACCTCCACAGGCTGAAAGGGCAGGTGACATACCTATGTATCAAGTGCAGAGGAGGGAACAGTGAACAAAAAGGCACCACGAAAAGGCCCCCATCTATTGAAACCGAGTTCTGTATGGGTTTTTATTCTCTGCTCACCTCCAGTGCTGATCAAAATAACACGACGTGAAATCATGATAGGCGTAAGAAACAAACAGCTTGAAACCAATTCGCGTCCTTTTAATTTCACGAAATTTGGTATGCGCCAAATAGCCTAAAACTGGTACAAATCAAAGCAGTCTGTGCAATAAAACGTGAAAATACGGCAGAAAAAGTAAACACTTGCGGGGCGTAAAACCGCGGAAGTAAATCCGTTCGTGGCAATCTTGTTCAGCGACAAACAAGTGTTCATTCAGCTGTGAAGCATTGAAGTGGATATAAAATCTGCATAGCGTTTCAGAGCAAGAAAAACGGCGAATTAATTGAGCAGTACGATTGACAGCATTGCGGGCGCTACGCGGGCGCGTAGGAAGGCGACAAGGCTTACTTTGATAAGAGTCACACGGAAAACGTTGACACCAGCCACACACGCTGTGCAGGGCTATCGTTCTCGCTTCTTGAATTACGGTTGAAAAGCACTGCGCATTAGCACTGCAAGCACTCCACGTGTACACGGTTTCAATTGCGGAACAGAGCAGCGAGGCCTACCTCATTCGAGCTTGGGTAGAGAATCGCCGAGGTTGGAGCAGTCGAACTGTGGACATCGGCATGCTCGAAACTTCTGCTACCGACTTTTATGCGCGTAATATGCGGAATAACTCAATGGATATGCACTGGCAGATGATACTTTGGTGCCGTGGCCACGGGCCACGGCACCAAAGTATCCGCCGGAGTGTAGCAGACGCTCCTGCCGGCGACCGGCGTCGTATGTGCGTCGCCGTCAATATTTTGTCCGGCGGTAATCTGGCCAATCGCAGCACGCCGCTCCGCGGCAGCTCTGGAATGGCCAGGTTTTGGAAATACGCGCCGCGGCGCCTTCCAGGGCACCGGCGAGGCCAGCGGGTCGGTTTAGAGTTTTGGTTTTAGACCGAAAACAGAACGAACAGAAAGAAATATATAAAATAAATTGCATTTTATTTTCATGGTGCGGTGAAGACGTTTTGTTGAAATTACTGTTAGCGGACAAAGTTTTATAATGTATTTTTGTATTAATGAGAGTTCCCACCACCTAAGCGCTGCTGCCGGTGGCGACGCTATGCACAGCGCCGCTGATGGTGGCGACGCTAATGTCAGCGCCGCGAAACTGGGACTGTGACCGGGGGTTGCCGCAGAAGTCAACGGACAGGGTAAAGAAGGACACAGACAGAGCGCTGACTCGCAACTAATTTTTTAGTTGCGAGTCAGCGCTCTGTCTGTGTCCTTCTTTACCCTGTCCGTACCGCAGAAGTCAACGGACAGGGTAAAGAAGGACACAGACAGAGCGCTGACTCGCAACTAATTTTTTAGTTGCGAGTCAGCGCTCTGTCTGTGTCCTTCTTTACCCTGTCCGTACCGCAGAAGTCAACGGACAGGGTAAAGAAGGACACAGACAGAGCGCTGACTCGCAACTAAAAATTTAGTTGCGAGTCGGCGCTCTGTCTGTGTCTTTCTTTACCCTGTCCGTTGTCTTTTGCGCTGTTTTAACCTTTTATTAATTATTTATTTTTATCTTAACGTTTTTTTTAACTTTTTATTGACAACGGAGTGCCGGCGAACATGTAAGTACACCCTTCGCCTCGACGGATGTTTCTCGCGTGCTCTAGCGCGCTTTTCCTCGCGCCGAAGCGAACCCTTGCAGCGTAACGATCCGAGCGAAAGACCACGGAGCCCGCTGTGACAGGGGCTCCGGAACCGGGGGGGGGGGGGGGGCAGGGCAGGGATGCGTGCGTTGGCAGCGTTCGTTGGCAACGAACGCTGCCAGCGTTCTCATGACCATTTCTGTTCCTGCATTCGCTGTTTTCTAGTTTCCTGACGTTTCATTTCCGCCTATAGTTCTTGCGTCGAACGTATCTTTTTGTGCATGTGCGTTAGTTTGCTTTTAGCAGAGCGTAATGTAGAGGTGTAATAATTCACGCCCCCTCGATTCGACGGCACAAAGCGAATCGAGGTGCCGTGGTCCTTTTATGTGTGTGCATGTGTGCTTGCGTGCGTACGTGTATGCTAATACCACGACTCGCGTGCCAAGGCGTCAACAGTTTAATATCAGTGGCACAGTGTTACCGCGCTGTGAAGACTGGCCAGAAACTGTCCCCCCCCACCCCCTTCCCTGCCTGCCCAGTAGCGTAGCCGGCTCCCTGCCCAGTAGCGTAGCCAGAAATTTTTTTCGGGGGCGCTGAGCTGGGCTGGGATATTCATGACTTCGGGTACGGAGGGGGTCAAAGTATTTGTGTAGGCAGGGCCCGGTTAACCTGAGGGCTGAAGGAACTGCTGCCCGGGCACAGGTGTCCTCTCAACTACAGTGCAACCCACTTATGACGATAATGACAACCCGAAATTTCAATCGATAGAACCGATTATCGTTGTATCTGGACTAGAAACTTATCATTTCCAGTCTAGAAACTCTGGAAACTGATCGTAATAAGCTGTTCATTATTATACACTGCATCGTTATAAGTGGGTTGCACTGTATTGGCACATACGTTTTGTGCCATTTATTTACCATGGATGTAGTCGTAGGACGTCTTAATTCCCCCACGGCCGTCTTTATGGTTGAGAGTTTTCCATTAATTTTTCTTTACCGCAACCTTCTTAGTGATAACCTGTACGCAAAGGCGATTGTTTCATATTTCCATTTTTATTTTCCTTTTCCTGAAGGCAGATCGGCAGTTGACTAGTCAAAGTGAGAGCATATTCACAACTCGTCCTTTGACGATCGTATCGGGTTGCAGCTCGACCAATTGATGTTGCGAGCAATTTCCTAAACTCCTCTGTAGCACGTCACGTAGCTGAAGCGCCATACTGTATAGGCGTACGGCTCGACACCTAAAAGTTGACCGCGGTGTAATAGGCGATGCTAGAGCTCAGTCAGACAACTATCTTAAGAGTATCTGAGCATTGTGTTGGATGTCTTTTTAGGACCGAGAGGGAAGTTCTCTGGGAGGCCAAAATTTTCGCTTTTATGCTAGTAAATGAACTTAGACAACCAAAAGAATGAATGTGGGTTGCATCATAAAGGACAAGGATTCCAGATAGACAAATCGCTCAGAATTGTGGTAAAATTTTTCAGACCCCTTTAACTTTTATATTGTTTTCAGGGAGGTGAGCATACTCCAGAAACGACTCGAGGACTCTTGTGCAGAAGCCCAAAGGTGAATATGTCTCTGCCTTAAAGCACTATACATGGATTTTAAAGAGAGGCACACTTTCTGAAATGGCCTTTAACTTGGATAAATGCTATGTGGCAAGCGCAATGCGCTATATTTTAGCGTGCAACTCGGCACTTGGTTAAAGCCATAAAAACGTTTACCTCTGCGAGCGGAACTGTAGGCTGAATTCTACACCACTTTTCTCCCGGTTTCCCCGGCAAATACAAGGGTTTCCCCTTGTATTTGCCGACATTTGTTTATTCGATACCTACAACACCTTTTCGGGGTACTATTGTAGAGGGATACACATTGCAAAAAAAAAAAATATATATATATATATATATATACATAAACAAGAATTTAACACACATTATGTGATGCACTGGATACGGCACTTTCGTTGTAATGAATTCTGTGCCGCTAGCTGATATGCTCACTCCTTCCATTTTGTATTTTGTATGCAGGTGGAAGAACGACTATGAATTGCTGCAGGCCAGGGTCGCACCCTTCCAGGTTAGTGGGAAAGGACTGTAGCGTTTTGCCAGAATAACGATCGGAAGGTTCGCAACATGGTGTTTTCCGACTTGGCAAGGAATAGACTCAGAACCAAATGGGGCCTTGGGATTGTTACTTATTTAGCGCTTGACTTGGGTAAAAGCACCTTCTGAAATTCTAAAGGAATGCATTCTCACCCCTCCCCTTGAATTGAAAAAATAATTTCTGGCAGTAACCAACAAACCCTTTCCAAAGGTTCATTGTGCAACACCGCAGCCGCCATGGTTTGGTCATTGTTTCCTGCGTGAAGCGTGCAGTTAGATTTCAGCTCACACCGAGGCTGACACAGCACTCGTCTCCAATGCATGCCCAAAATAACACTCTTGAGCAGTTACCAGAGAGCACACACTCTCAAAGAGGGTCTATTGCAGCTGAAGGATTGAACACCAGATAAAATTGCTTCCACCGTTGTGGGTAGGCATTTTGAGCCAACTCGCTTCACACCAGTACTTTTGGAGCCTGGCTCCAAAAGCGCTGGCCTACGAATCCCCAGGCGGAGAGTTCAAATCCTGGCCGAGGTGCTTACAATTTGATGAAGGCTCGTTGGCAGAGAAGGCACCGGTAATTGAGATTTCAGTTGCACATCAAGACCCCTGGGGGGTCGGAATTAATCCTGTGCCCTCCGCTGGGGTGTGCCAGATGCCCTTGGTCGGTTTAGCCCGTAAAACCCCAAAATTTTGATGGGTACAGTTTTCTCATTTTCTTTCTCCGAACAATGACGATGTGCGGTGGCACTTCGTTTTTTCTAGTTGCAGCTGGAGCTTTATGACGTTGAGAGGCGCCACCTGGCAGAGAGAAACCAGGCTACCGAATCGGAGCTGTCCAAGTTGCACCACAAGTTCTCTGAGCTGATGGGTCACCAGAACCACAAGCAGAAGATCCACTACCTCACCAAAGTCACCGAAGAACGGCAGCATTACCAGGTGGCAAGTAGCCTTTTCAGTGTTGTAGCAATAACCGCTCTTTTGTCAATGAGTTATGAATCACGTGCTTAATTGAGTACTCCCCAGGGTTAGGCACCCATGCCTTTTTCTGTACTTTGCGTAACTTCTACCTATGCATGGCGGATTCCTAGAGGTTTTTACAAAACATATCATGCTGAAATCCAGATTCGAAAAATTCTGTATCTTTTAGGCTATTAATATTTATAGTTTGGTTCTCAACCATTCATGTTTAAGGACCTCTTTGCTGGCAGAAGTGATGGGGGACTCATCCACTGGGGAGGACGGGGAAATAATGGACGATTAGGATAACAAAAGTGTAAATAAAGAACTCGATGTATGCAAACTTACTTTGAAGTACTAGAACAGAACCATACTCACTTGCTGTCCATGCAAGACGGTCAGCATAATTTTAATATTGTTTGGTTGAGGGCTTTCAGTACCCTAAGAAGGCGTTCAAAGACCCCGAAGGGTCTACGGACCCCCATTTGAGGACCACTGGTTTAGCCGATGCAGAATTAATTGACCTTTTTAGGAAATCGCCAGTTTAAGAGGTTCTGGTATGAAAATGCGAGCATGTGCTCAAACAAGCGCAAGCACTGCTTCGACTGAGGTACCTACACCCTGCTGGCTCCATTGTCCAGCAGTGACCTAGATTGGGCTTCCCCAAAGTCCCCTTTGTTCCTATTGTGGCTTATCTTTTGCCCCCAAGTTAATTCTAATACCCCATTCACACGGCAGCAAGTATCTACCTTTAGCTAAGGTCCCTTAGCTAAAGGTACTTTAGTAAATGGCATTCAGTATCACACGGTGAATAAACGGAGGATGAATGTGTGAATAGGTAGTACTGGCCATACTTTTTGTATCGGCCTTGTCGTAACGATTTGTAGCTCGTGAACTAGCATAAACGAGGAAGAAAAGCCTTTTTCTACATGGCGGATGAGCTTGGAGCGAGTGGTGCAAAGCGCACCTTGAGGCGGTCCAATGAAGAAGCTGAGGTATTGTTTTGAAGTGAAAGGTTTGTCCACGAACGATTTGCGTATGCTGTCCTGTAAAAGGTTCGCAATCTTATGCATTTGGCCTCCTCAGACCGGCAGTGCATTGCAGCTGCATGGTGGGCCCAAGGTTTCAGACGGTGTTTTGAAACTCAAAGAACTGGTAAAATACTGCTTCGAAAATCGTTACCTAGTTTGTTCTAGTTACCGTTTTGCTTTGCTATACAAGAAGCCACTGGCAGCAGGCATTGTACAGATTCACTCTAATATAAAATGCCTCCTTTCAAGACGTTTAAAAATGAGAGGCACATGCCAATGCTTGGATTTGCGTACGCCGTTGTGTTGTATAATTGGCTGTAATATTGAAACGGACACGTTCAACAGAATACATGGTGGCTGAATCTGCTAGCATGAGTGTTTCTCACTAGCATATTGCTCCGTGCTTGTGTTCAGGCTTAATCCAATAACTGCTACTTGGAAATATTCAATTTGTTATAAAGCACTCAACAGCATATATCACTCATTTTTTTATTTCGAGTTCATGGGTGAAGCGATGAGGCGAGTTGGCGAGAGCTCCCTTCAACATAAGCCCTCCCTTAGTTAAAGGGACCTTTATGTGCCATGCGACGGCCTCCAGCTCTCTTTACTAAAAGATCCTTAGTTAAAAGTACCTTGAAGCTGCCGTGTGAAATGGGTAAAAAACTTTCCTGCCCTCTTCTTCCTAATGCGCACATTGTTTCGTCCTCAAAATCCTGGAATCCAGTCTTCCACCAGGTGGCAACATGGTTGGGCAAAAGGTTGTAAGGTTTTGTAAATACACTTAAAACAAGAAGAAAGTCTGGATTTGGTAATCATAATCTGCTTTGAATTTCAGAGGTGTTGTGTGTCTCGTGCCTTGACTATTTTGGTTTGAAACGCCATCTCACATGCCCATATTCTTGCTCTTGCAGGGGGTCCTCAAACTGCAGGAGCAAAACCTCAAGCAGATGAAGCTGATCCAAAAGCTGGAGCTTGAAGTCAAACGTTGCTCTCTCAAGCCCCCTCTTGCTTCTCATAAGGAAAACCTGTTTCCGTGAACTGCGCACTGATCCGATTTCGCATACACCTGTCGCTGCTCCTATTGTAAGCATGCAGCCTTCAAGCCAATTGGACTGGTATTTATTATACCAGGATTTTTACTGTCATTTTATTTTTAGATTATATATGTGAATTTTTAAACGTGCAGAATAAAAAGTATAAGAAAACATGGTACCACTTCGTTCTGTTCGTGTACATGGTTTCGAAACCTGCAAGTCTACAGCCCAGAACACCCATGCTCGTTTTAGAAGGTAAACTCGTAATTTGGAATAAGTAATATATATATTTGAATACTTGTTCATCGCCAGTCTGGCACGAATGTGAAAAGTCCATCAAACTGGGGTGCCTTTATGTGCGCTTTGCTTAGGGTGATGACATCTGGTCGTTAATGTTCTGATCGCTTATTTTCCTTCCTCTGTTTTGAAGCTTGTGAAAATCTGTCCCTGCACGCACTCTTCGCTCTGACTGTGGTATGGCGACATTTTTTTTACGGAGATTTCTTTGAATTTTTTTTAGCATGTGCTGTCAGCATGGGGTACAACAAAGGATGGCATCCTCTAGACTAGAGCCACCAAAAGCTATGCTTCAGAGTAATGCTTGCCCATCTTGGGGCTCAAAAATCTTAGTTGCTACCTGAAGCTTTATCTGAAGTCTCAAAAGAATGCTTTTTCGTCCTCTACAAATGTTTTAACAGTTCATGACTGAGCAAAGTAATATTACACGAGTTTCCTAACACCGAATCTAATGCTGAGGAAGTCGCACTTTCGAATCTCGACGATCGGCAGTTGCATCTGCTCTGTACTAAGCACCAAGATGCCGGCGTCGGGTGTAGGACAAAGTGGTTTTGGACAGTATGGTACCAAGCGTAAAGCTGGACAAAATGGTCCCAAGTGATTTGTTGACTTGGGTGCTCTCTGAAGTTTTAGTGAATTGCTACTCTGGAGCTTCATTCAACATTTTTGTTTCATATTTTAGGAAACAGCTAAAGAAGTTAATTTAAGTTGTATTATTCCTCACGGCTCTATAGCACCTATTTGAACAAGCCTTAGCATTGTGCAAAGCATGGAGCTTGGAAGTCTACACAATACATATGCATACACTAAAAGCGCAAGGTCGCAATGCACTTGCACTGCGATTAATTGGACGAGTCGGTAATACCACGCAAAAACGTTAATGCAATTAGTATGTTTTGTCTTCAGCACTACTTTAACATACATCCTGCTCCTGTGTAATGCACATTAAAGACCCCAGGCTAGCAAGTGGGTACAGCACTGCCAAACTTTCTCCACTACAGAACAAACCAGTGTCGCCGCTCCTCAAAGGTAGGCTGACCTTGCACTATAAACACAAACATCAAATATATGTTGTGGCATGTATATGGCACATTTTTCTTCTCGCGTTGATTATATCAAATATTATAGACACATTATTTGACACATCCAGTTCATACATATTATTTCTATTCCACTGTATATTTTTCCCTTCAACTTAACTCGGCTACTGGCGTGCAGCGCGTCTTGAAATGGACATGTGCAATGGCCCAAATTTTTAATAATTTCAAGCCAGCGTCGACTGCCGGGACAACCAGCGCTGTGCCGCGAAGAAATGCGGCGTCACGGGAGAGATTAAGCGCTTTCTCGTAAAGCTCTTTCTGTTGCGAGCATCGTCTGCTAGGCTATTCCGTGGACCGCACACAGCCCCTGTTCATTATCTGCTGGCATAGCTAACAGTCTTTAAGCAAAGATCTGAACAGCGCTTGCTTGTGTGATACTGCTTAGGCGTGGCATAAACCGTGTGTCATCTTGAGTTTAATTTACTTTTTTTGTTCATTTCATGTTTGTGTTTACTTTTGTGAACACCAACAAAAATGAAAAATACAGTGACACGACAAACTGAATGCAACGATAAATTAAACTACATACCGCAGACAATGCTGCGAGGCATCAAAACCAATCCATTGCTTTCACCCTGACACGTGACATTGTACTTTCCCGTGCAGTTGTACCCAATGGGAAGGCCACGTGACACACTTTTAGCGATGAACTGGCCAAGATAACACTCGTAGCGTCGGCTGCGGTACAACACAAAGTGAAACGGAGTATAGACGGGGTTTTCGATTTGGCTTGGTGTTTTGTATAATCAACTGCATTGTTGCTGTCATCATGTAGCCAAGTAGTCACAGTTTTCTTCAACGAGGTTGGTTTTCTTTGACCAGTGGGCGTGCGCACATTTTTATGCCTCCTCGAGGGCCCATAAAAACACGGGAACGCATTGTGAGAATGTCGATGGGCGGCATGACGCAAAGGGATATAGAAAAAAGTCGGGGTTACACAGGCTAATGTCAATAGGATTTTGAACGCATTTCAAGAGGAGGGGCGTATCGCCCATGCACTTCGACATCGCAAGCGCCCTGCCCTCCTTTGCTACAAAGCAAGGGCTGTGTGTGGTCAACGGAATAGCCTAGCAGACGACGCCCCCACCAGAAAGGGCTTTGTCAACACCACTTAGAGCAAAGGCTGCAGCGCTGTGAGTTGCGACTTCACAGATTCACGACGAGTGGGCCGACCTGAGAATATACAATTTGAAGCTTCTATTCGTAGTGTGAATGAATGCAAGTATATGTGTGCATGAAGCTTTCACAGCTGCATGTGTCCCTTACTGAAAATTATGCTTTAAGTTTGCTAAGTTTGCCTGCACTCGGTTAAATCAAAACTTGTGCGCTTCGGTCTAGGCGGCGTCTTCGCCTCTTTTAGTCTTTTCTGCATTTAATTTCTCGTCTTCGTGTCTCCGTTTCAGATTAATTACTTTATGAAAAACGTTCCCCAGTTCACCTGCAGTTTTGTTTTTATTATCATTAGTTTACTTCTGGTTAAAAAATACATTTCAACACATTACGTTTTTCGCTGTGGCTAGTGCTACGTCCGGACGGAGCACTGAAACGCCTACCTCCTCTCTCTCGCCCGTGAACCTAGGGAAGGCGGAGATTTGGACGTAACTTCGGTTACGTCTGACGTAACGCTACACACTTCGTACATTTTTTCGTGCTCCAAAAGTCCACATTTTTTTTTTTTAAATAATCTTTTTATTAGCTTCACATACGAATTCAGTAACCACACGTCATCACTAGGGGTGTCGCGAACTTTTGTCGAACCGGATTTTTAGGTCGAACTTTCGGGGTTCGACGAACCTTCGAAACTTTTCACCATGCAGATTCGACTGGTTCGACTTTGCGGACAGTGTGGCCAGACCTTGATACACGCATGTATAGGTTTGGAGAATTTATTTTTATGCAAAGGGTTATTTTATTTTATGAGCACTTGCAATTAAAAGAAACCAATTCTAATCACTGAAGGCATTAATAACATAATTTTTTTGTACTGTATTAACAGAAATAACAAATCAGCGGTGCCCTTAATTCATCCTTTAGCCATTACCATCCAATCCGAATCCAAAGTGCCAGCCTGTCGCGCATGCGCACACGTGTCAAACCTCAATACAAGGTTCGTCGAAATTTTCACAAGAGGTTAGCAAAAGTCGAACCTGGTCGAACTCGAACCTCGGCCGGTTCGCAACACCCCTAGTCATCACCAACTTGATTGTTGCTGTTATGCATTTTGCATACAAAACACCAAGCCCAATCGGAAACCCTGTCTATACTCCGTTTCACTTTGTGTTGTACCTACGGGTGTCGCGAACTTTTGTCGAACCAGATTTTTTGGTCTAACTTTCGGGGTTCAACTGGGTCGAACCGGTTCGACGAACCTTTGAACTTTTCACCAGATTATCATGTTTTCTACAGCGATCAAAGTACAAATGTTGTCTTAGTTTTGAGTAAAAGCCTCAGGATTTGGTAAGGTCACGTGTCTAGTTGTCAAAACAGGGGAGTGCAACTTTCTATACCGCCCATGGAACGCAAATTGGAAAACCCTGGAGGCCGCAGCGCCATTTGAATCCCCTGGTATCTGGTGGCTGTACTAAAATAAATATGGCGGCACAGCGAAACCAAAACCGAAACTGCACGGCAGCGCCATTGTGTTTGGATGGATGGACGGTGCTTGCGCCACCTAGATTTAAAAAAAAAATATATATATATAAGGCAGACTAAAGTTCCTTCCCAAGGAGAGCTACGCCAGAAGGATGTACTACCAAAGTACTACCACATCCGATATCAGGGGTTCAAGACAGGCTGGATGAAGAGAATAAAGGCCATAGATTCTAAGTACGGTGGGGGCACAATAAGGCATCTGGCGACGACGGAACGGGAGTGGGCGAGGACAATACGGACAGAGGTGACACGGGCCGGAATAGAGGACTGGAGAAGGACAATGCAGAAGAAACAGAGCCTCCAACTGTACAGGAAACACAAGAAAGAACCGGGTTTACTACAGTTGATCGAATGCCATTTCATCGAAGCACGTTTTAGAGAACGGGCTCGTTTTATCGAAGCACGGTTTAGAGAAAGAAGAGACTGAGTTTAGAGAAACGCCGTTTATCGAAAAGGGAACAATATTTAAAAACGGCTTTCCTACTTCGCGCGTGCATCACTGGTGCGCGTGTTAACCCAAGCCCCCTGCTGCGCTCCCGCCGCTTCGCGGCGGCAGTCTACGGCGGCTCATTACAAAATTGTTAACTCGCCTGATTTACCCGTACACGCCGCTTCGCGGCGGCCGAATTCGCTAAAAGGAAGCTCATCGCCATTTTCTCTAAACTGGGTTCTCTACAAAGGGATTCGATAAACTGGGGTCGGTAAAACGGCGTTCGCTAAAACGAGCTTCTCTAAACCGCATGACTCCGGAAAGAACCAGCACCCTATCCACACTACCGGGGAGACCGAGCCAGCGCGCTGCTGTTCCAGGCTCCCTACTGACCCAGAGACGCAGATTTGAGCTCTATGGAGATGACCCAAACTACGGGCTCTGTGGCGGCGACGAGGAGACTGTCGAACACATCTTGGGACAATGCAGTAGCATCGACCAGAAAGGGCAAAGCGCGTTGCAGTGCGGTGTAGAACAGGCCTTTGGCTACGGAGAAGAGGCCGAGGAGGGCAGCGGTGACGACGGTGACCGTAACAACCAGTAACAACCGCACGCATTCGACGGACGCAACAAAACGCCGCCTGGTGACGTGGAAGCGACTTTGCCGCACCGCGAAACACCCTGCCTAGAATGGAACGC